TTTCTTTATTTTCTTGACTCTTTTGGTGTAGTTTATTGTTCAACGCAGCGATCTGATCATCCTTCTGGTCCAGTTGATCATTTAAATCGTCAATCGTTTGACTTTTCCGATCGAGGTCATTCAACGCACTACTCTTACACTTACTTAAAATAGCGTACACTGTTAAAGATGTTTTCGCACATTCACATATTTTAACCTCCAACTCTTCCGCGAATTTTTCTCCTTTTGGTTTGAACTCATTCCACTTGGCTAACGCAGTGTCGTACTTTGGTTTGGCCTTATCCCAGGCGACACGAGCATCTTCTTTCTCCCATTTCTTCAACGCTACTAAGGCTGCATTCCGGGCATTGCGAAAGCTTTTACCATTGGATTCTTTTTCTATATGATCCCAAAACGCTTCCCTTGCCCTATGAGCTCAGCTGCCACTTTGTCATAACCTTCTGCCCTAAACTCATAATACACCCACCAAACTTTGCTACACAACTTGTACCATTTTATCCAATATGGAGAGCTATCACTGTAAACAAACTCCCTTGTGTGAGCCAACTCTGCGCGATGCTGGGCTATTTGTGCTTCCTTGGAGTCAGCTCCGTGCATGTATTTCATACAATCTGCATACAACGAATGTATCGTATACGCAGCAGTATACCTTTGTTCAACCTTTTCAGTAAAAGTCATCGCTGCCTTGTTTATTTCTGCCCAAGCGAGATAATACTCTTTGGTGCCATCCTGTGTTTTTCTTTCTACAGTCCATTTCTCAACTTTTTCCTTCTTAGCAGCTGCCTCGGCCTGTTTGGCGGCTAGGTAAATCTGGACGGCATCACTATATTTGGCTTGCAATTCATATTCCGTGCTCATGGTTGAATTTTATAATAATGTAAATATCTACATGTGGAAGAGAGTATGGCACAAAGTTTTGCAACAGTCAACAATGTGGATTATAAGTGATTCAGTCACAGCAATTATGAGGAAAAGCACAAACAAACAAGACTGGTAGAGTCAGCACATCATCAATCTTTAAACAGAACACAAAGCACGAAAGAAAAATCACCATTGCTTTCTTTTCAATATAATCATTGCTATTATGATAAATATCCTGCTTAGCACCATTCATATGGTTATGGTCACTGCTACTACCATCGTGTACAGATGAGGATGCAACAGGTGGTGTTGGCGTTGAGGCACGTCCCTCCATTCTCAGGTACACAGTTCGCACAGGACGTGTACTCGCATCCTTCTTCCATTGGTGAAATAGTTCCTCTTCTCCACAAACACCGGCCGGCCGCACAGCGAACACCTTCAACTTCTGCCGTGTGCCATCAAGAAAGATGGCCTCCAGCGAGTTTGTGGCAC